TTTGATTGACAGTTAAACGTCAAAATTCTAAAATATTTGAGTATTTTTATTATTAAATAAAATAACAATACTTGTCTCGACAAACACTACTTAAAAATAAAAATAACCCAGAACATAAATTTTGTAGATTATAAAACTGAAAATTTAAGATAATTATTAATGGCATAAAAATATTAATGACAAACATTTGATGGCAACAAAATTAAGACGTTAACGTCAAAATTGGTCAAAAGCCTATTAAAATAGTTTTCTTAATTATTGTGTTATTTTTATAGAAATTGCATTTTAATTTAATTATTTTTGAAACATAGATACAAACAATATTGTTTCCAACTGTGGTGGATGGATACAAAACGCTGAAAGTCTTCGAGGCGTTGCGATTTTCTCGAAATCGGCACGAATTTGCCTATGACGAAAGCAAATGGTTTTTCTTTTCAAGACGTTTTTTTAGTGTTTTTTTTGTTAACTATAATAAATTTACTTTTAATCGCCAACAACAATATTATGCACTGATTTTAACAATTTGAAATACAACAAAAATATTTTGCAAATTTAAAAAAAAATTCATTTTTTGCGAAACAATTTACGCGGGCGACATAATTTATTGTTGCTTTTATTTAAAATCAAACAAATTAGCAAAAAAATCTTAATTAAATTGTTAGTTTTAAAAGTGAATTGTATCTTTCGGTTTGCAATTATTATTGAAATTTTAATTGAATTTATTTGTTTGGAATTTATTCGAAATAAAATTATTTCTTTAGTATTGTTTATTTATAAAAACATCAAGGAAATTGAAAATAAATTGCAAGTGCAAAATTTCAATAATGAAGTATTTATCGATTTCGAATAAAATCTTGCACTTAATGGTACACAACTGACTAAATTTAAACTATATATAAGTATTTACCAATCAAATATATAAAAATACGAACAATTATTTTTCAATAGTGAGCAAACACCCATCCTAAATGTTTTAAACATGGCTGCATTATGAATGAAACTGCATACTTATGCTTATAGTTATATATACATATAGTAACTATAAGTTCCTATACATATAAACATATATACATATAGTGTTCTTTACTACTAGAGATACCCCATATCTGTATCAGAAAAGTTAAATATGTACCCTTTCCAGATCCGGATTAATGTCTTTATTAATAAGTAGTTTGAAAAGTAAAATATATTCTTAAGAATACGTTACTAACATCAGCTAGAGATGAGTATACCTATTAGAAGTACAAATCGAAATTTCTAGACGTAAAGACTTTTAATTTGCCATATTCAGCGAAAACTAAACCTATGTTTTACCTAATTAGCTTTTAAATGAAATTCACAAGACAACCGCCAAGTAAGTGTACTGTCAAAAATCTAATGAACACTTCTGCTCTATTAAGTTAGAAATTAGAAAAGTTTTCATGTTCTCAAGAATACAAAATCAAACTAGACTAGAAAAATGGAAAAGTCTATCAAGATTAGTGTTCAGAACTTACAGTCGCATAGACTTCGAAACGATCACAGTAAACGAAAACTAAAACTAAACCAATGTATTACATAGCAAGCTCTCACATGAACTGCATAAGACAACTGGCGACGTATTGTTCTATCAAAAATCTGATAAAGACTTTTTTCCATCAAATTAAAAAATGTGAAGGTTTTTATGTTCTTAATAATACTTCATCAACTTGAGCTAGTGAAGATTGGTCTATCAGAAATAGAAAGAAGATATAAAAGACTTAACTCCCTTAAGTCTTAAGTTTCAAAGTGATATCAATTTGTCAGATCGATCAGTTCTTAGAAGTGTCTACAATAAATTATTTACGAACGTTTGAGAAACTACAGCGTCTAAGACAATTCCAGCTCCTTATCTGATTTTCAGTCATTCAATCACTGGACGAATTAAAAAACAATTAGAACTGCTCCTATTAACTATCACCTTTTTAAGATGTGAATGAATAAAGCTAATACGTGTAGATACTGTATAGTTAAGAGTAGAACGTTTGCCCATCTTATTTATTTGTTTCTTGTGATTTCCAGAAAATTACTATAGATCCAGTGCAATCATCTGATTTTCATTGAACTTATTGAATCTTGACCCATAGAATATAATTCGGATTGCGACAATATCTTTACAGATAGTGTACCATTGTGATGTTTTTATTGAATAATATCGAATCTAGAATAAAAGAATATTGTTAGAGTTATAACTTTCTCTTCTCAAGAATATCACATTATGCCACATTGGTCACGGTACTACTATTGAGCTGTCTAACAATAAGAAAGTATATGCAATCGACATATATATTACTTATGTACAATATAATATTTAGTCAATACACATTAATGTATTTATTGTCATTAAAAGAAATATTATTTTTTTAATCATATATGCAAATTCCATCACATTTTTGTATTTATTAAAAGCTAAAAATTTATGGTAATAACTGATACCATCATTTGTAATCAAATAGTTATTATATACATTTATTATTATTGTTTTAGTATTTATTATTACATATTTATTATTATTTATCATATATTATTATTATATATTTATCATATATTATTATTATATATTTATCATATATTATTATTACAATAAAAATATTAAACTGTTAATATTAAATCTATAAAGTTTATTACTGTATTATCTCAGTTTAGTGTCAGTACTCTATTTTGTCGATAAAAGTGAGTGAAACAATGTATTTCTGTAATATTAATGCTCCTCTGACATAGAAGCATTAAAAGTATCTTAAGCAATACAAAAGTATTTTTCATGAACGTGTGTAGAGATATTTATACAACTTTACACATTACTTAGAAAAGATAAAAAGAAAAATATAAACAAACAATAAAAAAAATTAAATTTAATAGTAAATTAAAGTCTGGTAAAAATAATTTAAAATGCATAAAATTATTAAATTATATTATATTTTACAAATACACATGTTTTTTTAATATTTACTTAAAATAATCATTTTTTAGATACATTTCAGTTTCAAAAATTCTTGGTAAATACTTTTTTTTGATATTTTAAACTATTTTATTCAGCGTAGTCCCCGTAAGTTTGACCCTGGTTGCACCCATATAAGCTCATAAATATATTTATTAATTCTTTTTTTAATATTAATTTTATTTAATTTAATATTTTTTATTGCTGCATTTCAACTTGGCATGCCTGATGGCAAGCACACGATTTGTCGCTCGCATATCAAGTGCAAGGTTGCAGTTCGAAATCACAGCCAAAGCAAAAGTATCTAAATATAGTGAACTTTTCTCGTTGAACTAAAACAAAGATACTTTTCAATTTTTCACACACGTTTGAATAAATTTTTTATTCTAAATGTACCGGTGTTTTCATTATTTATATAAAATGTTTTTTTATTTTTTGATTTTAATGCTCTGTCAATGGTTTTCATTCAATATTTTATTTTCACGTTAACAGCGCACATTTTGCCAACTATTTTTTGCTGTTTAATCTGATGTGACGTAAAACTGTCAGCTGTTGATGTTTCTAAAAATATTGACAAAAAAATTAAACTAAAAAACTTAATCTTTTAAGTTGTCGTTTCCGAAATTTGTAGTTTTGAAATCGTTTTGAAATGTCAGAATTGCAAAGAGAAGAATATATGAGAAAGTTTGCGCAAAAATGTTGTTACATTGGTTCAAATAGAAATGAAAAGACAACAACAAAAATTTTAGTTAATTTATTCAAATTTGGCTGACCATACAACGCTGTTTTAAGTTTTGTCAGTGGACTTAGGAAATATTTAAATTTTTTAGAAATCTAGAATATATATGGACTAGAAATCCATATATATATTTTGTTTGGACTGCAAGCGCCAGATTAATTTATTTATATATATATAATATATAATGAATTTAACATATAAACTTTTTTAATTTTTTTTTTTTTACAATTTACATATTAACGCCTTAGTATCAAAGACATAAATTTCACATTGACTTTATTATTAATTATTATTATTAATTAATTATTATTATTAATTAAGATCAATTTATTTATATATATATATATATGTAATATATAATGAATTTAACATATAAACTTTTTAAAATTTTTTTTTTTTTATTATTAGTGTCAAAGACATAAATTTCACATTGACTTTATTATTAATGTTGAGGCTTTTCTGAGTTAGTGAATCTGGGCCCTTTTACTCTTTGATAGCTGGGGGTTTCTGCAGAGTTATACCCATCTCACTGAATAATTTGTGTATTTCTTATAAGCTTCGTGATTATTCAATGACTGATTTGAAATCTGCGTACCGCCCCGTGCGGCTGGAAATTATTCTGAGGTTAGATAGTGCTAAGTAAAGTAGCCTGTCGGCTTTCGCGAATAGCTTCAAGGCTATGTCCCTTATTTATTTTAATTTTTACCAAAGCACTTTGAAGAGTCTTCGAAATTTTAATTAAGTATTACTAATATAATATTTAAAAAAGTGCACAAATAAATAATGTAAGCTAAAGATAAAATTTAATATGAGTGTTGATGATCACTTATACTTAATTATAATTATATATTTATAGGTTATAAGTAATAATCAATTATTATTTAATTGATTATGTTTATTGTGAATTGACTTAAGCTATCACTTAACTAAGTAGCCAACTTAGAACAAAAAATATAAAATAATTATATATACCTGAAGTTTAGAAAAGTCTTTATATCAAAAGAGAAGAATACTTTAGTAACGCACTTGATTTTAGTTTATATATTCTCATAATCGTACTAAATGTTTTTATTATAACTACTAAGTACTAAAATTTAATACCAAACATTTGTACTAAATCTGTATATTATAATTACTGGTTAGGATTCTGTACAACATTGAGGCATTTATGATAAAGACAAGGATAATGTTGTAATACTTTTATCCTTAATGTTGAAATAAAATATATTATATTGTATATTATTATTAAGTTAAAAATATTAAACAAACAATTTAAATAAAAATTAAATAAAAAATTTTTTGCAGTGTTCATAACAATTGGCATAACAACAGCTTCACATTGGGGATACCCTGATCTTGATGCAGATGAAGGTATTATTTAATAATATATAACTCTTATACTATATATTATAGTTCACTTTCTTTTATGTTTTATTTATATTTTTTTTTATTTTATATGTAAAAATGCGTTTGTTGACAACAAACAAACAGATTCACTTTGAAATTCAGCTATGAAATATTTTTATTAAACGCAGTTTAGCTTTTATTAGAAAATTACCCAATTTTGATGCGACTCTCGCTACTGAAGAGCTTTAGCTACTGTTTTGATAATTTTGAGCATATAAATTATATTTGAAAAATAAAATGCTAAGTAGAACTATTAAATAAACTTAATTTGCACAGAATTCAATTTAAAGTGTCCCCATTTGATATCAACTGAACTTTGTGTCGTGACTCTGGTGTGTTTCAGATTAGCAAACATTTTTAGCTCAGATTTAAATAAAATTTAGCTCAGAGATTGACTCTTGAAATCTAGAGCTAAGCTATCAAAATGATAGAATAGTGGGTGTAAGCAAAAAGTACAAGCTAATTTTATAGGTACTTTCATTAGAGAGTTATATTATATGATAAGGCAATGAATAAGAGGTGTATGTTATGAGGTTGAATTTATAATTAGAAGTCTTAATTTTTTATAAAGTATTTTTATTTATTTTATTATATTCTAATATAATATAATATATTAAAGATTATAATTTTTATATTTGCTAAATTAATACTTAGATAGAAAGTGATTAACTAACTTTGTTTCAAACTAAAGCAAAAGAAAGTCGATCCGTTTTTCTGCATAATAATAATACTGGGAATACATAGTAACAGCACTCAGTTCTATTGGTAACCAGTAACCCATAATCCTTATTTCTAATACTGATATTATAAAGACTTCTGTAAAAGTCTATATAAAAGTTCTGTCATCTCACCGTGCCATTAATATTATCAGACTGTAGGCAGCGTCTGATTCTAGACATTTATTAACGCGTTTATATATATTAATATTGATAATAATCTAATAATCACATAATCTAATAACTGAAATAATTTAACTAATACTTATTTACTTACTTAGTTGCCCATTATAGACATGAGTTGCCTTGGCAGCATCCAGAACTTTCTCTAACCCATCTGATCAGTGACTTCTCGCCAGTTATTCAGCTGGTCTTTTCACCGAAGGTGGAGATGCACTGGACAGCGTTTTCTACTTGCGGGTACCGAATTAGACTATGGACTTGTAAATAATTTATTGTGTAGGGTTCGCCATTTGAAAGATTATATTGATTTTTGGACCTAACAGTTTATTACCAGTTTACCAACCCCTTATATTTTTGCAGTATTTCGGTATTATAATTATGACAGTAGCGAATACATAAAGTATTGGAACTCAAGTATTTTTAGCCTACACTATAATATATCTCCCTTACCTAATTTCTTCAATAATCTCTGATATTCCAATTCGTTTTAATTACAAACTTTATAAGTATTATTATATATTTTTAATGTTTTATCAATTTCTTCAAGTTGAAATTTCCAAAACAACTTTCTTCTTGTCTTTGGAGAGAGAGAGAGAGAGAGAGAGCCAGATAAAGATTTAATAAATATTTAATCATTTCTCCTAGGCTTTCATTTTAAAAGTATTTACAGATATCTTTACTAAATGCACATTATTTTGTCGCATGAATACCTATAAAAATATAGGTAACATCCAACATAAGTCGATTTAAGCTACTCTTTGTTAAACATAGTGGAGTGAATATTCTCCGGTGGTATATTTTCGGCTAAATGTGCAGCTTTTTATTAGTCATTCTCAGTCATCGCATTTGCTTTTTTTTTATATTTTTTGGTCGATAAGATCTTCACTGAAAGATTCGATTTTATCTGACTCTATTAATATTTTATTTTTCAGTTTTAACTAGTTTATAAAAATACTCTTTAAATATTCCAAATAGTTTAACTGTATAAAATACTGTGTTTTCTCATAGCATTTCCAATGTGGGGAGGGCTTTGTGACACAGGCACACATCAAAGTCCAATAGATCTTAGTCAAAAAGGAGCACTTAAGGCTGAATATGATGACCTCGACTTTCATAATTACAATAGAGCACATACTGGAGTCTCTGTGGTGAACAACGGACATTCAAGTAAGTAAAGAATAATTAGTTTTAAATTTCATACCTATGTGAAATTTTAAATGTAATAAATTATTCAAATACTTCATTTAATTCATTTAAAAACTTTAAACTTTAATTCATTTAAAATACTTCATTTAATTTTATAAAAATATAAATATATTTCACTATTCTATTAACCAATATTGAGTACAATTCTAGGATTTTTATTATAATTAATTATTTTATTTACTAATATTTTATTATTAAATTGATTTTTTTCCTCCAGTTCAACTATCAAAATTCCAATACCCTATGAAACTCGAACGTGGGCCACTACTAGAAGGATATGAAGTAGAACAAATACACTTGCATTGGTGGTCAGAACACACCATTGACAATGTTCGTTATCCCATGGAAGCGCATATAGTGCATCGTAACAAACGTTATCCCAATATGACAATGGCCGCTAACTTTAAGGATGGTCTAGCTGTTATTGGAGTTTTGTATCATGTCTCAAATCAGGAAAATGAAGCAATTGATACGGTTTTGGAATACTTGGATGAAGTGAAGAGTTATAAAAATATGAATCAAGAAGTTCATATGAAGCGGCCGTTTGTGGTACGTGATCTGTTTCCAACCGTAGCAGGCTATTTAACTTACGCTGGTTCATTGACAACTCCAAGTTGTGCAGAGTCTGTAACTTGGATTGTATTACTTGAAACTTTTCCAGTTACAATGGAACAAGTATGGATTGGTTAAGATAAGATTGCACTTAAGAAAGTTTTATTAAATTTTTTTCTCTTCTACTTTAGGTGGAAAAATTCAAGCAAACTGAATGTGATGGTGGCAGGAAACTAAAGAATAATTATCGCATTATTCAGAAGAGCAACAACCGTCCGGTGTTACTAGTTTTGAATAATAGAACGGGTGCTGCTGCACCTGTAGGAGTTTCCATTGGGTTAGTAGTGCTAGCTGCATTGTTAGCTAGATTCCTGAATTAATAAATGTAATGTAATTAATGTGTGTAACTAAAATTGACATATTTTTACTTGATACCAAAGATCGTTATTTTGGGCTATTAAAATTCAGCAAGTTTTAATAACAATTTTTTATGTATTCAGAAAATAATTTTTACTTTAAAAAAAGATTTTGTCATACAAGAAGTTAAAATTTTTTTAATTTTAATTTTTATTGTAAAATTATTTTTTTTTATATAAATATTAATCATGTAAGTATTGTGAAAAGCTTTAGATATTAGGTAAAATAGTTTAATACTGGAGATTATATTTTGGCTGGAAAATGTATCAAGATTTTTTTATTGTATTATTTATTATTTATTTTTTTATTTTTTAATACCAAATATTATTTAGTTTTTTAATTAATAGGAATGGAGTTTGCTGATTTTTAATAGCCTGAGAGACAATAAACATAAATTGATATTATTTGTTACTTATACTCTATCTGATTGTAATACTTATAGTTTTAAGTGTTTGTAAAAAAAATAAAATTAACCTTTAAAAGGATTTTATATGAGTACTAACTACATAATCCATATAATTTCATATGAAACATTGTATTTAATTTAAAACAACATCAATTTTTATAATTTCTTACGTTAATACGGTAATGGAGAAACTTAACAGAACTGGTTGGAATTATAAGTTTGAAGTTAGATAATAATTCTAGGTAGACTACTACCTAATTTTCTTATAATATTACTTACTATTGGAATTGTTTTTAATTTATATTTTTATAAAAACACAGATTTTAGTTAGTGAATGCACTATATATAATTGACAGAGACAAATATACATTCTTCATATTTTCTAAAAACAATTCTCTACAATATATTTCAATAGTAGTATTCACAAACTCTAGTAAACAACTCGATAACGTCATTACCTAATAACACTGCAAAATGCAAAAACAAACCACATCTTCCTTGAATATATTTTGATATCGCAGTTGATTGTGGATAGCATTAATATGGTATGTTCAATGTTGAGTGAAAACTCTGCCCATCGTATCTGCTCGTGCTCTCTGATTGTTACTAAACGAGTCCAGTATCTTCATACGACTTTCATTGTATTGAAAGTGGTCTCAAATTTAAAATCAAACGATTTTATTAGCTTTCTTAATAGTCTTAACTGGTGTAGGTTAATTTGGGAGTCTCTCCGTTGTGATAGTACAATCGAACTCATAGGTCACAGTGTTGTCTTATATGTTAATAATATATAAAATTTTATTATTTTTACACTTAACATAATTATTTATCTAAATAAATAGTTAATTGCATGTATGATTGTTGGGGTTAGAATTAGAATAAAATAGCACCCGGAGGTGTTGGAAGATTTCAGGCTAGAATTAACTTTGATTGGAAAATATTCAATTTTTTTGATTATCGGTTAAGTTTTCCCAAATTGAAAAATTTCTAATATCAAATAAGAATAAATAAGAATTTTCTTTCACGACTAGATCGAAATTCGATAGTCAGAAATAATGTGTTTGTTAGAATAATAGTATCAACAGGCTATCATCACACACTTGGACTTTTAAACCGTTGAGAAATACTTTTCATAATTCACCTCCTCCTATATCAAAACTAGGCAAGTAACCACAAATAATATGTCAAAATGACAGATAGAGATAACAGATCGCCACCTCAGGCTTGGGGTTTTATACTCCATATTACACATATTACCACAAATAACTATCAAAAAGACAGATAGAGGTGATAGATCACCACCTCAGTCTTAAGGTTTTATACATCGTATACATATTAGTATCCAATAAGTTGTTTAAATATTTTCTGTTATTATTTATTCTGTTATTCTGTTAGTTTATTATATAATTAATTCTTAAGGATAAGGAAGATTTTTAAGATTTTTTAAAATTTTTTAAGAGTTTTAAAGAGTTTTGAAAATTTTTTGAAGTAATAAAAAATGAAAGTAATTAAAATAGTAAAACCGGTGTAAGTTTCAACTTTTTGGTTCATATATATCTTAGCTAATCAATCTAATCTTTTACACAATGAACAGCAAAAACTTTATATTCCTTCAACATAAAAGTATATTTTCGTGAATGCATCAACATCTAAGATTACATAAAACTAATAATGATATATATGGATACATTATACTGTGTAAGATCAACGGCAATGTAAAGCTGGAGATGGGGTTTCGAGCACTGGAATTCGAACACTTTTGGCAAACCAAATTTATTTATTGGCTCAGCTTAAGATCCAAATCATTTTGAAGCAAAATTACAAAAATTGTGTTGGAAATCCCATATCCAAATAAAGAGGACTGGTGTAAAACGTTCAAGAGAACTATAATAAGGTATTATCATATACAAACTTTATTGAAGCCATATAGATGCAATGTAAAAAACATTAAATTTCACAGCACTGTTTTAAATAAAAAAAAAATTATATGTGTGTACATTGTAAATATCCATACATGTTAAAAAACTTCAAAAACAAAAACTATAACAAAATTTTATTATTATTTCCTGCAGATTATTTTAATAAAATAATATCGACATTGATTGGGCCAAGTTTGACTAGTTGATGCATGCAGCTGCAATTTGATGTTTTACGGAATAAAAGAAGACTGAATGATTTTGACTTGCGATGGATCTCTTGCCGCATGGTGTTGTATGATACGCACATGATTCCCTCCTAGAGTTATTGCCAGGATTCGATCTCTAATATGCATTTCTGTCGAAATATATGCAGCAGCTAGTGAGACTTGGCCCATTCATTTACTTAAGTATTCATTTATAATATATTAGTTGTTATGTAGTGACTATATATATACTATAGTAGAACATAAATCTTGAGTATTTCATATAAAATTCTTTAATTAATTAATAGGATTTTTACGCTTCCTACCAAAAACTAATGTATTTTTATATGTAACAATTGTATTTTTATTATGTTGTTTAATTTTTGAAATATTTGTATAATGTTTTGAGACAAATTGTTATTGCAAAAGCTCGATGGACTTTAAAATTATTATATTTTTAATTAACTAAATTTTTTATCTTAATTTTTTTTGTCTTTGCTAGTCAGAAAATTAAAATTGTTCATGTACGCTAAGTGTTTTTAATTGTTTAAATATATGTAATTTAAATAAAAGTTATTAAATAAAAATGAATTAGTTTTAATTGCATTTAAAATGTTATTTGTTGTAGTTGTATGGCTGTATACAAAAAAAAAATGTTTATTAGGATTTGATTACACAGTTAGCAGACTATATAAAACTCTTATAAATATGGCAGAAGTACATAAATATAAACAAAATATTGAAGCCTATAAGACATATATCTTATGCTGACTACTTAGAGAAACAACTCCTCCCAACAATCATAGTCAAAATCTATATTTTTATGGTAGTGTGTAGTATATCGTGCTATATGTCAAAAAAGTCATATCAAGGTATGCAGTTCAATTGGTTGAATTTCGAATATGAGCACTATTTTGGTTTAAAATGTTTTAAAATATAATGCATAATTTGATTATAAAATTATGTTCGGACAATGGAAGTCAATTAATACATTTTGATATAGCTTTTATTGAAAACATATTGTGTAATATGAATAATATGCCTTGACTATTCTCATCTACGAAATATTGCATGCGTAAACTTGCATGCGAAAAGTTGCATGCGATATATTCGACGCATGGCGTAAGAATAGAGGAAGGAGATATTTTTAAAGCGCTAAGCAAATAGATATGTTATTGACTACTATAAATGTGATTTTCTAAGATTACTAAGTAGAATGCTACTATTAAAAAAAAGAAGTGAACGTCTAAGATCAGTAGACTAAGATTCAGTAGAGTGCTAGTACAAAGAAGAAAAACTGATCTTATAAGATCACTAAGTAGAGTACTACCGCTAAGTTAAAAGAAATTTTATCGAATATGTCAATAAAAAATAACAATAATGGAGTTTTTGCACCGTAAATGCATAATTAAGTATGTGTATATATTATTTTTTTTTGTAGAATATAAAAGAAAATAAGAATTTTCATGGTTTTTGGTATTAAAGTGACCGTAATTTGAGGCATACTTTTAAGGGCAAAATTTTGAAAAATGTATTTTAAGATTCACGCCTAATAATATAACAATAATTTTTATAGATATACCTAGAGTTGCCAAATTATTCAAAATATGATTTAAAATAATATACTAAGTCTTTTGATAAAGATATATTATATATATTAAAAATTTAGACGTGAAATCGTCCAACAGTCGATACTGCGGCCAGAAGAGTTTTATTGTACCAGTTTCACTATTGATTACACAAAACCACTTAAAGGTTTGTGAATAAAGTCGAGAACTAAATCTAGAGAAGAGTTCTTTATCTGTGCTGGTGACGGAAGTTCCATAGGATTTGATAGAGATCATCTTAACTGTAATGTCTTAACTTTCATTTTAAAATATCTATCACTCTCTGAAACCACTGTAGCCTTAGTACTCTCATTTTTATCGACTTTACAGTGCAAATCTTGTCAAAAGCTATAAATATAGTCACATAATAATATAACCTAATAACGACTATTTCAAGAGATCTCAAGTACCCTGTCTACAATACTTGATTCTATTCTACTTTGTGAATTCGAAGTGTGAACTCTAACAACAAGAGATGAGAGTTTTTTTATTTTTGACAAAAAAAACTAGTTCGAAAAGTATAATGACCATGCAGTGATGTAAATGGAGACTATAGAAAAAGAAGCAATGAGGAGCTTTTAGATTCACCTAAACAAAAATATGTGTTAATATTCATAAAAATATCGTAACGGTTCCGATGGGCGCAGGATGTCTTAAGAATAGATGAAAGTCCTTTATAAAGACTGTGATGAATTTTTTTAAGATGCATTTATGAGTGCTATATGAGAGAATAAAACTATTATGTTATAATGTTTTAAGGATTTTTTTATTGTATAAAGATTGATTTTGTACAATAAATTTTCAGTTTAGTCAAAAATCTATTTTTAAATGGATTTGGAATGAATGAAAGTCCTTAATAAAAACAGTGTGATGGACTTTATTAAGATGTATCTATGAGCTATGAGAGATAATAAAAGATTTGGATTCAACCTATTCTGTTATAATGTTTTATAATGATTTGTTTATTGCATGTAAATTAATTTTATACAATAAATTTTCAGTTAAGTCAAAAATCTATTTTTAAATCTACAGATGTTTTCATCATACTCAATATCCATAACATAATATTTTGACATATAATTCATCTCAACATATGAAGTACTATTGACTGTCAAATAATAAAATTCATGGTTTTATATTGACAGTATCTGTCGATCAAATATATTCTTATATAATAAAACTTTTGCTCGACGAATGAAATGACTTAAAGCCATGTGTCAACACTTCCTCTGCTGATTAAACCTATTTAAATGCTCCTAGTCATAAGAGTCTCATAATTAATTAATTAATTCGTTGAATAAAATATATGAAATTTATTTACATAATGATTACATGTCAGTCTACGAATCAGTAAAGTTAATCACATCAACGGCCATAACTCATTTTAACGCATTTTCAATCATTCCATCAGCAACGACTCCGGAGAAATGTCATTATTACATTATGTTTATTTGTTTTTTTACTTTCTTTGAATAAACATTGCAATGACATGAAATATGAAAAAAAAATGTAAATATATATCTAGAAACATAGTAGTCCATACTCGTATATAATTTAATTAACAGTGACCTTTCGCTTGTCTAAATATTCACAGTGGCGTTAATTTGTTTTGGCAGTTCCAATCGGTTTTTTTGGCAGTTCAACACCGAATTTATGCTCAGGCGAGGCTTCAATGACAAAAATAAATTTCCGTTTTCAAAAGCGACTTTTATTACAAAATTTGCTGATTTACATTGCAAATGAAGTGAAGATTAAATATATAAAATTTGTTAAAAACATTTTAAAACAAAATAGATGTATATTTATTACTTTGGATTTGGCGTGAGAAAGTCACTAACCAGTTTCATTCATGAAAATCATAAATGTTTTCGTATTCGAAAGCCATTTTATTTTATATATAATAAATTTATACAACATTTATGATTTTATTATAATAAGATTTTATGAACTTTCATGGTTTTTACGACTTTAATCTCATATGAATATATTTGAAAGTTCACAAGTGTTAAGAAAAGAAATAAGTTGTTTCAATATAATTCGTTTTTGATAAAAACCACACTCTGTTTTCTGACAGTTAAAAACGTTTCATTAAAATCCTTTGTATTAACATAAAAGAATATTAATTTGGCCCTGAAACGGCACACCCACTATTTTATGTAGTTTAATATTAACCATTTACAATCATATAACCAACCCATCGCGCTTTCTTGAGAGAAAGGTTTTTCTTTAATTGGTGAACAATTACTAATGATTGGTCAGTAGACCAACCACTGCTACCCACAACCCACACACGGAAAAAGGTTGAATGTGTGACTATATAATGCAAGAAACAAGTTCTACAAATCAATCTAGAAAATACCCAAAAAAAGTTAGAAGAAAGCCAAAAATTTTTTCACTTAAAAAGTCCACAGCATATTGGTCAATTCCCTAAAAATCATCTGTTATTACCTAAACATACACATTTTCAATACCTCCGTTATTGAATCATTATATGTATTCCCCCATTGGCCTAACTTTCATGTACAATTAAGTTAACTATTCTCATGTACAATTAAATTAACTATACTTGACTCATAAGACTTGCCTGTATCCAATTACATAAGTATCTGGGTCCAGAAGTGACTACTATAAAATCAGATCTATTTAGACAAAAAAATGGTCTATAGGTATAGCTTTAAATCCTTACAACATCCTGATGATGTTACAAGATGTGATGTGACTAGTAAATATACTTCAGCAAAGACTCAGACATCACAAACATAATTAAGTCCAGATTGCAAATTATTTAAAAAAATGTTACTTTATTTGTTCTGTCTAACTTAGATATCAAATGTAAAGTGCATTTGAATGACAACACTAAATCACAATTACCTTAAATTACTTAAATTGCAGGAGTATTTATTATAAAATTTGAAACAACAGCATTGTCCCATATTAGAGTACAATCTACCACTTGCTCTCTTATAGCAATTACTTTTAGACTAATTTAATAACATTGAGTAAGAAATATTAAGTTCTTATTCTTTCTTTATTGACTCTTTTATAGTTTTAGTTTAATTTTCCATTATCCTTCTATCTGAGTCTATGCAATAACGGGTTAAAGTTCAAAAACTAGGTTTAATAGGATTAATAAAAAAATATCAATATTAATTTTTTTTGTCGAAAGTGACATGTCTTATGAGGAAAAGAAACTATTTAAAAGTTAGAAAAGTTCGAATAGAAATGAAAGCATAACAACAAAAATTTTAGTTAATTTATTGAAATTTTGTCTGACCATACAACGCTGTTTCGAGTATTGCCAAGTACTTATTATTAGTAGTTTTAGGAAATATTCGATTTTTTTTTGAGTTTAAGGTCCGTAAATAAATTGTTTGGACTGCAAGTGCAGGGTTGCAAACTTTTTTTAAGAGTTTTTATGAGCAGACCCAAATAAACCTAATATCATTAAGAAAATAAAAAATAATATTTAGTGTTGAATAATGTTATTTAGTGTTAAATAATGTTATTTAATAAAGTAATCGTGCTGCTAAAAATTATGGTTTTCATATATGAGCCATTCTTTTAAAAATCGGACACCTTTTTGACTTCATCATCTCCTATTTGGTTGAAATTTTTTTTACGACCTTCTTTCATAAAATAATAAAACCCGTATCTCGGGAAAAAATTTTGTAATTTTTTCTAGCAGATATGGACCCATGAGGTTTTGAAAATTGAAGTACTTAAAAAAAATTCAACCAAATCGGAGCTGATGACGTCATTTTTTTTCTAAAATCAGTCTGATTTTTAAAAGAATGACTCATATATGATAATATGCAATATATAAAAATTACATTTTAATTGTTTAAAATAATCATTTAAATTCTAATTTCATTTTTACATATTTATTCTGCACTTTCTTTAAGAAGTTACTTTTATTCGCTTTTGTTGGGTAGATCTTCTTTAGTAAAATGTCAAGGTTTTGTCCCATCGCAGTATGATCTTACACAATTCCCAAAAAAAATTAACATTTTTTTTGTTATATTTTCTTTTTGTTATTAAAATTAAATTATGTAAATATAACTGAAATCAATTAAAATCGAGCTCCCTAAAATATTTCAATACTTAAGACAGTAATAAATCTTACGCGTCCATTGTCCGCCGTGAAAGATGCAAGTATATGTAAATAACCAAGTAATCGAATTACATTCATAACTCAACTTTTAGGTATTACTTCATAGGTCGGTGAGAATTAATTTATTATAGTTCATGTAACCATGAACTTTGCATATGAAACAGAAGAAATATATGAAAAATTCGTTAAGATCTTTGAAAGTAAAATCAAAAATTCATAGTGACTATCACTGAATGGCTTTCAATTAGCAGAAGCGATAGTTTTTTGGTTGGTCATGATTTATGTGGGCAAATTTTGATGCTAAAATTTAAATAAAATCAAATAAAAAAATAAAAAAAAAATTAAATGCATTTATAAAAATTTATGAAAAGTAAAGGTAATTTTGCAATGAAAGCATTTTTGCATATTTTGGTAATATTTTTGAAATATTGTTGTCGGGCTTTGTGTTTGTTAATGTGGCCAAATCAGTAACTCGGGGGATTTCAGTGTTGCCACAAATGGTTTTTAAATTTGTAAACAATTAAATTTCGTGCTATTATAAAGCACACAATACAATTTGAATTTAAATCATAAGAGTAGCTTTGTTGTAATGCCATTTTATTTTATCAAATAAAAATTATGCAAATTACTTGGTTATTATTTGTAACTCTTGACTATAGGCAATTTATATTTTTCATATGCAAATGAGCTGTGCCATGCAACCCAAGCTGAATCTTCTCTAAAACCTCTAAAAATTCGTCCGATGCTTTTTGTTTTGTATTCTGTTTAGGGCATGCGGAGTTTGATGATGTTTCGCCAATAATTATGATATTTAAAAATTGAATTTAGAAAGGTTATCATTGTCATCAACGCATTGTTTTCAAAAAATAAAATAAATTGCTAAAATTGCGTACGTTTGAAATTTTACATTTGTTCCAAACTTCTCGAAGGCAGAGGCCATTTTGTCTTAAAGCAAACTGCAACCGTTGGTATTTGTTCGTCACATTTGAGATACTAACTGGTATCATTTCAGATACTGCCTTGTTAATATAAAAGCAATCAGGCAATTTTGTTAAGCATCAGTCAACCAAAAACTTCGTTTGAAGCAAGTTAACAGCTTAAATTAACTAAAAGAAAAATTAAGTAAAAACATGAAGATCTTTGTGGTATGTTTAAAAGTGATTAAATATATATAAGTATTGAAAAAATAAAAATAATATTAAATTTAAAAAAAATTAAAAAAATAAGTGAGAGTCTAAATAGTTAAATACTGTGAAAGAGAAAATAATTGCACTATGGAATTAAAATACATTACTATGTTAAGTGCAGTCGTTTAAAAGAGCTAATGCAAAGTTATAGTTTAAGTAAAAGTTAATAAATATAAAATTATAAAATTTGTGATTAAATACAATATTCAGACCTCAATTGGACTATAAAATTTACAGTGTAGTGCCCGAAAAATTAAATATACATATATGTAATGAACCAAGATTGAAAATGTACTTAAGGAAGACTCCACCTGCAACTCTGGGATTTATCACCTCTACTAAACTCTTCCAATTTGAAACATTTGACTTCCCAGGAAATTAACCTTTGATTCTTGAAATTAAGATAAAAAAACTTATATACTTTTATCACTTGATAAGCGATTGAAGGTTGAAAGATGATACTGTGCTTATATTTAAAGAGTATTACAAGAGTATTGCTATGCAAGTATCACAGAATGTGAAGAATGGTGCAATTACTAATACAGTGCAATCCTTTATAATTATTTTCAGAACTGCCTTAAAATATGTATATATTTCACAAACTTTTCAAAAAGATTTTTACAAGTTTCGATATATCTTGAATAAAATTTTTAAAAGCTTAGAATATATAATAAATTTTGGATTTATAGGTGCTAATGAACCTTGAGCTTAAGTTAGATATTTGTGACTTATTCTATAATCATTTCCGAATTTGTCTTTGAAATGCTTTGACGAGAATATTCTAAATACGTTCATATTAAACTTTTTCACAAAGTAGAAGGAAAAAAATTTAAAATAGGAATGCTATTGCTTCCTAATTCTGTATAGTTATAGCATATAATAAAAAAGTTAACAATAAAAATTTATTACGCTTACTATTTTTACTATAATCTAATACTTCTTCTACTATTGTCCACTTCCCTAGTGGGACATAGGACCTCAATAATTCTTTTAAATCTGGCTGTATTTGGTGCTTCTCCGTAGATATTGTTCCATGTATATATTGCTTTAGCTAGCTCACTCTCGACCCTTCTTCTCCACGTTTTCAGTGGCGAACCAGGTCTTCTGCTACCTTGTGGATTCCATGCCAACGCTTGCATTGCTATGTAATTTCTCGGTTGACTAAGCATATGGTCTCCACTTCTACTTATTCATTTTTATCTCACTTCTGCTGCTTTTTGAGTTGTTTGGTTCAGTAGGTGTTAATTTAATATTCAATTTGGCCACCACATTTTGAGAATTCTATATAGATTCTACTATAATCTAATATAACATTAAAACATTGAAATTTGTACACTCAGAAAAATAAATTGCTTGATTTCACCAGATTTTAACTAAATCACATGTCAAAATATTCTTACTCGAGACATCATGTTGGTTTACCCATACCACCGGTTGGTTTTTCTTTCTTCTTTACCTCATGAGCTAAATTTTTTCTAACAGAATTGATCAATTCAATTTATTATAAATGTGGTTAGAGCATATTTTTCTGAATGTAATATTAACTATAACATTTCCAACTATATTCTTATTTAAATTTCGTTTATTTCAGACGATTCTATTGGCAACTACTGTTACACTCTCTCTAGGGGATGTGCAGCCAGGTTATAACTATCAACAAACAGCTTTTGGTAGTAATACACAACAAAATCCATTAATAATGCAAATTTTATCGGGACCAATACCTCAGCAGGCACAACGTATTTCACAACAATCAATCATTCCATTATCTCTTACACAGCCAAGCAATCAATATTTACCTACAGCACAGTCACAATACCAGAGATTCCAACAAGCTCAACAATCTAGTGTTGGCATGGTATTACCTATGCCACTCGGATTTCCAGGCGTTTTACAAGCACCCAAAACACCACGTCGTTTACGTCCACGTGTGAAGGTACCTAAGAAACCAATTGTTACTAAAAACTTCTTCATACACGCCGCTCCAGAGGAAACCGATGATGATATAGAAGAAGAGTTGGCGCAATTAGCTCAGCAACCACGTAAACACTACAATGTGCTCTTCGTCAAGACACCAACTCAAACCAGCAAGGCTGCTGCTCTCAATCTTGCCAAATCACTGAAACAAGAAAAAACTGTTGTTTATGTTCTGTCGAAGAAGACTTCAGCTACGGAATTGCAAGATGCCATTGCCGAAGCACCTCAACATGTTAATAAACCAGAAGTCTTCTTTATCAAATATCGTACAGCTGAAGAAGCTGCACATGCTCAGCGTCAAATTCAAACACAATACGATAGTTTGGGTGGCAGTTCCACTATTACAGATGAGGGTGTGGCACCAGTAACTTCTGTTGTAGGTTCATTAGATGCTCCTGAGGAAGAGGAAATTGATGAACAACAATTGCAGCAATTGCCACAGGAACAGAGTTCACAACAACAGCAACATGTAACGCAATTGGATCAGCAATCATTGGTGAATGGTAACAGCATTGGTAATCAGTATTTGCCACCAAGTCAGTATTAGAGATCTTCGATGTATCTTTAGTTAATTCTAAAGCTGTTACGAGGCTTAAGAGGCTTAATGCAGTTTAGTTTTAATTGCATTATCTTTCTCTCATTATGATTTGTACATAACATTTTTATTTAGTTTTTAAGCTAGAATTTAATATTTTAAGCTCCTCTTTTCTTCTCTGTTTTTACATTGAAAATAAAGTATATTTTAAATTTATTTCAAATTAAAATGATTATTCATTAAAGTTTCGCAAAGAACTTTCACTTAAGAAGAACTGGAGACTTGATTGTAAGCCGTAAATGATGAACCATAGTTCTACAATTGAACCGACATATTATCAACTATAGAGAAACGCATGTATATAATAATAAATAGAATACTTTGTTATAAAATATGGAGAATTGTTAAATGACTCTGAAGAGTCATTCTTAGTCGCACTATGCACTTCATCATATTTTGGTTAAAAATTTTTTTACTCGCCTTAAAAATTTTCAATTGTTAAGCTAAACATTTTCCAAATAAAGAAGTAATCACACTTCAATTACTCTATAGTATCAGAGTGCAGATGATACCTCTTGAAATTCTATTGTTTCCAAATTCCAGACGACCACTACGGTCCGAATTTAATATTCGTACGTGGTTTTCTAAGCTCACAACTTGACTCCTGATAATGTCATAATGAAATGGAGATGGGAACTGATAAAAATGATGTTGAAAGTGAAGTCTCTACTATGTATATTTTACTTGTTCGTTCCATTAATTCAAGTACATTTAATTAACATATTAATTATTGTATTAAAAATTAATCACATTCTTTAATTAAGTTAGTTCGGATACATACATTGTAAATTAATTTAAAAGTGCTACTTAATAGCATCAACAAACGGCAAAAGTAAAAAAAGGCCTACCTAACAGCACTACAGTAGGCAAGTCAGAAATTCTGACACCCTTAAAAATTTGAGCAAACTTTTATACAAATATTTCAAATTTTACAACACTATCTATTGTTTTTGCAATTAATTTTCATTTTAATAAGAAAAACTTAGTGACGAAAATATGCACGATTTCGTGAGAAGATTTTCCCGATATATAAGAAGATGTATAAGAAAAAACAACCCAAGATAGAAAAAAATTTATATTTTGTGCTTAAAATCAAAAACATATCCATTAAGACGAATAGTAAAACATTCTCCTCATAGCTCCATAAGAGAATGCAGCCAACTTTTTTTATGGTGTAGTCGAGAGGGATACACATAGGGTGTGAGTATTATCTCTAAAAATATATTCAACGTAATATTTTACATTCAAGATAAGAAATAAATTTATTAATTAGTGCTTCAATAAAGTAGTTAGTTGCTTTCTGGTTGTAATATTTTTTTAATTCACATATAAAAATGTCAGAGCAATGAGTAAAGCTTGTAAAAACTTTTAATAACAACTGTTGTTGTATGACTTAAAAATACTTCGTAACTATTCTCCATTTGGCTATGAACAACAAGTCCTTGTATTTGTAGATGATTTCACTATGATTTCTGTGAAAGTAATTTATTAAAATTTGGAGGTCTATAAGTATATATGGAAAATATATTTTTATATTAGTTTAACATTTTCTGTAGCCTTCTTTAACTTCACACGGGCTCCATAGTTTTCAAACGTGATTATCTGTCTTTAAAACTTAACTCTACGGTATTAATATAATGCAATGATGAATGGCCCTATTGAAATTCAATTGACGCTATATACTTGGGTATAGTTTATTCCTTGCAAGGCAGAAAGGCCTAATAACAATGTTATGAAATAATGTAAGAAATATTGTAACCATTAAACTAAATAGCGTATAGAATATATATATTACCTGGAACCACAAAAAATGTGCATTCAAACCGACTGATAAAATAAAATTAATTCATACCGACCAATTAAATTGAACTTTACTAAAATTTTAATTAAATTTCCACAGAAGAGAGTGGATAAATACTATCATGAAAACATTATAAAATGCGAGGTACTGAATTACTCTACGAAAACTATACCGCCTATCAGCTATTAAACGCAAACACAGCAGGACGCTGACACATAATAAACGCTTAAAAGGGTTTTACTTCATGGACGATAAATAACAAATATAAAGCGTGATTGGCATATAAAAAAGGTTTCTGGTATGTAGAGTATATAAAGCACGAATGCAAGGTGCATAAAACTCAGTTGTTGTGTTATAACGCAGGCGAAATGTACAACACATCGGGAAGACTGCAGCACTTGGGATTTTTGCTATTTGGAATACTTTTATTCTATTCGCACGTAACCTCAGCAGAAGGCTTAGAATCAGATATTCTGTATCCGCCACAATATACTACTAACCGTATAGTAGGCGGTCAAGATGCAGCAGCTGATATTGCACCTTATCAAATATCATTGCAAACACTTAAAGGACGGCATTTTTGTGGTGGTGCTATAATCGACAAACGTTGGATTATAACAGCTTCACACTGTTTGATAGGCCAGAAGGCAGAAAACGTTAAAGTATTAACCGGCACACATAACTTACTAAACAATACCAGTAAATATTATTATCCAGATCGCATAGTTACGCACTGCAATTACAACAGTCCGGCTTATGCAAATGACATTGCCTTACTGCATTTAAACGACAGCATTGAGTATGATGAGCACACGCAAGCCGTAGAATATGATCACGAACCACTTAAGGCAGGAGATGAACTTGTACTTACCGGTACGTAGTGGCTTTGTTATATTTTTAAATTTATTTATTAAATTTTTTTTTTTTTACTTCTGTTTCTTTTTCAACGATTTTAGGCTGGGGCACCTTGTCATTGGGTGGAGAAATACCCAATAAATTACAAACACTCAATGTGAAGTACGTGCCATTCAAGGATTGTCGCGCTGCGCATGATAATAGCACTTGGGTAGACATTGGTCATGTTTGCACTTTCAATGATAAAGGCAAAGGCGCTTGTCATGGTGATTCTGGTGGTCCCCTGGTGCATAAGGAAACACTCAAATTGGTGGCGTTAGTAAATTGGGGTCGACCTTGTGCTAAAGGTTTTCCCGATGCACATGCACGTGTTTCGTACTATCATGATTTCATACGAAGGAATATACACGGTTGTGAACATGTGGAGAGTGAGAAAGATCCGAGCGAACCTACAGCTACTTGTGCTCCAGAAAAAGAAGTGACGACAGAAGAAATTAAAGAAGAAACAACAGAAAAAAGTGAAGAAAAAACAACAGAAAAAAGTTTATAATAAAGAGAAATGAAGATTAGGAAGTGAAGATTTTCTTAAACTATTTTGGAAGAATTGGCATATTAAGACATATAGATCCAATATGAGTTTTTAAATAAAAATATTTTATTTTTTACTTAATATAATATAATAATATAATTAATAAAATAATTAATTAACTTAATAACTAATAATTGATAAATAATAAAATAATTAACAAAATAAAATAAAAACTAAGTAAAATTTAAGTGAATTGCAGATCATTGGCCTATTGTTGTATATTACATATACGATTATTTGAAAGATATAAATTAGAGATCTTTTAAACCATTGAGGTATTTAGTTTTATTAAACACGTTATGTACATTAAAACCTACAAATATGCAGATTTAAAAGTATTTTAATAAAAATATTAATTGCAATAAGAAACAACCCGATAACCTCAATGACCACTAAAATTAATGAAATTGGATTGATATTAATCTTTAAGCAAATTAATGAATGTTACTTTTAATCTATAATTATAGTTATTATCATTCATTAAAAGCTTTTTTCAATAATATTATTATAATATTTAATAATATTATATTATATAAAAGCTATAGCACACAATAGGTTGCATTATCTCGATTGTTAATAACAATTTGTCATTGTATAAAATTCCATGTGACTTGGACCGGACCTACTGATTTATTCATATACTAGCGCATATATTAAACTTTTTACTATAATCTAAGTATAATATTCTTTACAGAGTTGTATAACTAATGTCCTTTTTTTATATTTTTTAGATATAGGATTTTTAAGTTTTCTTTATATTTGGTACTATATCTCCAAAAAAGAAAGTAACTACTTAAAAATAAATTTGTTTTTACATCTATTTTACAGAGCATTTTTCTCAATTTTTGTTTAGAATTCTATTCTTTTATATATTAAGAAATTAATAAATCTATTAAAATTTAAGATTTTTTTAAAATCTATTTTATAATACTTTTTTCTTTAGAATTACATTCTTTTATATACCTCTTATTAGTAAAAGTTTGAAATTATTTCAACAAAAATTATTTTTCTTTGACAAATTGTTTTTTATTTGATATGTGTAAACAATATATATAATATACCAAAAAAAAAAATAATGTTTAATTCTAATATATTTCTAAAATTATTTGTTCGCGTTTGGCTTAGATATCACCAATATATGTTTTCTTATTTATACTTCCTCACGTTTTAGCAAGTGTTCTTACCACTCATAGTGTTAACTATCCAGTCATGGTAATAAGAAACACTGGCATAAACATCAGGATAACCGACAGCACAAGCTTCACCCCAGTTAACAATACCAACTTGTACTTGATTTTCATCCACCAAAGGACCACCGGAATCATTATTACAGGCACCTGTACTATCTTTAGTTGACGAGCATATGTGACCTTCATCAATCCAAGCGGAGTTCTTTACTTGTGGTCTACAAGTAGCATATGGCACATACTTCAAATCGACTTTTTGTAAAACATCAGCTGAACGTCCCCACACCTTAGTAGCACCCCAACCAGTTAATACCAATTTATCGTTCTCTTTCAATGTATTGCTGGTAGCTAGTTTGATAGGTTGTGTCACATCATTAAATACTATGGGGTTATCCAGACGTAGTAGTGCAATGTCATTGTGATATGTTGTATATAAACAATGTATTTTTGCCTCGGCTATAGTATATTCAGCACCACCTTTGCTCCAATTGATTGTACCAGTAATTACACGTAAATATTGTATAGGCCAATCCATACAATGTGCAGCAGTCAAAATCCAATATGAATCTATAATCGAACCACCACATACGTGTTCACCGAAAGTATTCCTCAAAGAAACTTGATATGGTGCATAGCCAAGTGGCGCATCATTGCCACCAATTATGCGTCCTTCTATACCAGCTGTTGCTTGTAGATTCAGTTGACCAGCACTACGCGATTCCACTGCCAAGACAGTGGCGGTTAATAAAATAAGCGTATAGAATTTCATACTGAATTTTTTTATGTTGCTTTCTTATTTTAGTATTTAATTTAATATTTATTTATTTGCTTTTGACTTGTCTATCAACAAAATTTAAATGAATTTACTTTCTAGTAGCTATTACTTTTTATAGCTACTTTTTATTTTGCAAACTTTTTATTTTTTATTTCATTTTTATTGACACATGGCAAGATAAGAAATTTCGGAAGCATTGATAAGTTCGCAGCACATGAATTCCCTTGGAAGGTGCCAGAGGTGATTATTTTTAAATTGTATTATTCAGTTGTGTATTAAGACTCAGCAGGCGTTAATTTGATATACGACTTATCGAATTCTCAGTACTGCTAGTAAAAATATTAGGGCGCATAAGCCATAAGAAATAGTTAACATCTGCACTAAAGTAAGGTAAATAATAATAAATTAGTCACACTGCTTTATTTGGATTATGATTGAGTGTGCAGTTACACCAAAGGGGAAGTCACCTACAATTTATTGAAAAATTGATAACTTAATATTATCATTTAATTGATTTCCATGATTTAACACTTGTCATACTACAAGACGTCTATTGGACTTTGATACTTCCAACGCTATTAGATAGATTTCGATTTTGTTCAGTTAGACTATTCCACTTATTGAAATGAGTAGCGATTATTGCGATAAATTTGTTGTCATGGTCAGTTCAATGTAATTTTAGTTGAATATAATTTTTATTGTTTTTATATATAATCAATTATGCTTTATATAATCGAATTACTAATAATGTTATATTTATTAACATTCAAAGTAATAGTTTCTTTAAATGACTGATAAAAAATTATTTCATCAGTTTAATGCCTTTTAAGATAATCTTAACTAACATAAAAACTTTCCAATAATAATTCACTATATATGTATATAAATAAATTTTTAACTATATTTGATTATTATATGTACCCAACTATTGCTATAAACCATTTTATCTTGTTTTTTTTAATTTTAATTTTAATCGGTGTTTAAAAAAAAATTTAAAATATAATTTTTTTTGTTAATATAATTCATAAAAATTCAGTAAAGGCAAGTATTTTACATATAGCAAAGCCTCAAATACTACCTTAAAGCAATTACAGATAGCTCAAAACCTGGCTTTAAGAAAACTGTTTAAGATTCCATGGTATATTAGATCAACAGACATACATAGAGGATTGACTCAGTGAAAAAATATATCAGAGACAGAGCTCTAAAATTAATCACTAAATTTGATACGCTAATTAACCCCGCCCTAACAATTCTCAAGTCCACTTCTGGACTCTCAGGAAGATCCGTCATCAACTAAAAGACAAATAAATTATATGTTTTTTTTTTTTAGCCTAGTTAAAACCTAGTGTGGGGTAGAGATAAGCCCCCCAACTATTATAGAGTAAAAGTGCGTAACAGCACTAACTCAAGAAGAAGAAGAATCCAGAAGTCAAGATAAAAAAATTTCAGAGATTTATGTACCAGGTCTAAGCATTATTAATTCATTATTACATGTAGCTCATATGATGTCATATAACCACAGTACCGAGTCCATCTGTGTTATAATTTATTTAGTTGCCTATTTCGCGGAGAACTCTAAGCTGGCTGACCTCACTAATTATTGGACATGACAACTTCAAGTATCAAGATAACTCTTGCTGTGAAAGACACTTGCAGACTAACGATTAAAAAAAAAGGAGACAGTGGTGCGTATATTGTGCCAATGTCCAGCACTGGCAAGTAGGAGGAAGACTGTCTTGGGACACCATTGGGCTGGTGATGCCTTGGCAGGAAACCTCAAGCTAAATAAGCTGCTTGTATTAACAAAAGATGTAGTTATGCGAACGGTACCCACATCAGCTTTAACTCAATAACGACATCCGAGAATCGAAGGGCGAAAAAGGACCCAAGTAGTTTCGTGGGCTACTTCGGCTAATCCTTCATTGCAGTGGGGCCAGTTGTTGGACAGTGCGCTGTCCTAACATCCCACCATATATATATACTTGCCTATTAAAGCAAATACTTTAAAATATATATAAAAAGTTTTCAGAGACTTATTTATTATTAGATGTAGATCTTATGGTGTCGTAAAACCAGTACTGAGTCCATGTGTTATATTATTAATTTACTTAATTGGCCATTGAAGACGTTAGTCACCCTTCGCTGCATCTAGTGGCCTACTATGACCAGTGTAGTGCTATCATATCCTTAGTCTCCTAGTTCTTCGACCGAAGTTCCGGACAACCCCTACCGCGTTTTCCTTCAGTAGGTAGTGAAGAAAACATCTTTTTAGCAGGACCACTTTCTGGTCACTTTCTGGTTTTTATTCGCACGACATGACCGATCCAACGGAGCCACTCAATTTTTTTGCGCTTACCTCTGTCAATATCGTTGTGTAGCATGTACCTATAGTTCATAGTTTCAACTAATTCGATTTACCGCAAGACCTATTTGCTTCGCTTATTTTTCTAAGCTGACAGAAACCGCACTGACTGAGTAATATTATGAGAATAAATAATATTGAACATTTCGTTGTGTGATTATTATGTCAAAAAATTGTAAAACTATAACATTGGAATATACCTGTCCTATAAATAATATCTGTAAAATGGTGAAAAACGATATTGTATATTAAATTGTTGATATTAAAAACATTAATATTTAAAACTATGAAATTACAACACATTTTATGTCTTATGAAACAATGCTCATATTTAAGTACTTCAAAGTATATAACATCCGTGGACGCTTTTAGTTCTATTAAAAGTAAATAGTTAATATCAATAATATAGTGAATCTGGCGCACTTATTTGTTTGAAGTGTTATTGAGTGTTTAGCTAATCGAAAGAGAAAGCCACCTACAATTAATTCAATGTTTGATACCTTCACATTATCATTTAATTGATTTTCATGATTTAGCAGACGTCTACTGGACTTTGATACTTCCAATACTTTTAGACAGATTTCGTTCAAATGCAGATAAACGAGTACACTTATGAAATGACTAGCGGGTATTACAATCAATTTGTTGTTATGGTCAGTTAATTGTAAATTTATGTAGAAATTAATTAATTTATTTTTATATACAATGATATTTTAGGTAATCAAGTTACAAATGGTGTTACTTATGACGTATAAGCGAAATTAGCAGTTTAAGGTCAGTGGAAAACTAAGTCTTGCTGAAATGTGGTGGTTACTTCTAAAGATTGTGTGCAGTAATCTAGATATTAAAATTATATATGTCAAAACACTTTATATATATATATATTAAGTAAATAAACTCACAATGTATTAAATACCATAGAGGCAAAAAAATGCTGTTCAATATCACTAAAGTGTTATAATAAAGTTGTTGAAATTTTTTAATCCGGTTTAAAAGTGAAGGCATACCAAAAACTAATTTATTTATTGATAATTTACTCTTAAATATCGAAGGTATATTAAAAACCTAGTTAATTAATTGCTATTTCTATAAAATGACATGAAAAAAATTTCGCAGAATAGAATTAGCCAACTGACTTCAATGGCGTATTATACTCAAAAGGGATGGATCAGAATTTAATATAAAATTTTGTATATTCGTAGAAGTCGGCTTTAATTAATTATGAAATTATATATGATTATATATGAAAATTAAATGTATGCAATAATTTTGATAATTAAATTAACCTCCCGATCTATAAACTAATAAAATTACACATTCAATTATAAATTTTAAAATAAAACTATTACAAACAAAAAATTGTAAGTATTTTTAATGTGTTTTTATACAATGATGCACATATTATATAAATCCTTAAACTTAAAACAATCTCATGTTCATGTTACTTTATGATTCTAGATTACACCCTTTAATAGTAGTTCTAATCCAATCATTATAAAAAGCAACACTTGCAAAGACATCAGGAAAACCTCGTCCGCAGGGTATACCAAAATTGTTTATACCAACTAACTGTCCTTTCGAATTTATTAATGGGCCACCAGTATCACCATGACAAGCACCTTCTCCAACAGGTGACTTAGTACATACATGTCCCAAATCAACGTCATCCACATTACCATAAGCAGCCTTACAGTCCGTATTAGAAATATATAACACATTTAATTGCTTCAAATCATTTGGATAATTTGCACCCTCCTGATCCTCACCCCAACCAGTAAATGTAAGCGTTTCTCCAGGTACTAATTCATTTAATTCAGCAACTGTTATATTTTTTGTTACATCATCATAAGCAACCAATGTTGCTAGTTTGATGAGTGCGATATCATTGTGATAAAGTGGCTTATCAAAATTGCAATGTATAATAATGTCCTCTACTTCATATTGTATAGCTAAACCCATCCAATCATTCGTACCAGTTACTACTTTTATATTACTCTTCTGTAAGCCTCCCACACAACTGGCAGCTGTGAGTACATACTGATCGTCTATAATCGCACCTCCGCAGAAATGATTACCAAAGCGATTCTGTATGGATACTTGGAAAGGCACAGCACCGTTGGCAGCTACATGGCCACCCAATACATAGTTTTCTGTTTGGATACGACTTTGTCGTGGTACTGCTGGTGGTTTTGTATCCTTATACTTCAAACCGACATAGGAGGGGTCACCGTAATAACGCAAGGCGTCACTATAGCCAATAAAGGCCGTTAGTAAAAGAAGCGCGACAGATATATTCATTCGGTTGTACATAACGCGCCGATATTTAATAGTTTCTAAACTTGTGTACTTAATTTAATTTTAATTTATACTTAAATTTAAACTCTTATCAAGTTTTTATCAAATTGCCATTATTTAGTATATTTGGATAACAATTTTTATTGTTGTTGATAATATCAATTAGACCAATTAATTGTCTTATTATTATGACAAAAAATTTTGGCAAATTGATAAACAATAGTTCAGTAGTATTAGATCAGTGTTGTAGGTAAGAGGATTATTTTATTATATACTTTAATAATTTATTCTTGAAAAGTCATTTAAGTCAACAGCAAAACGTAATTTATTATATTCATAATTTTTATTCATTAATATATTACTACCACTAATATAGCACTACCGTTTTCAACAGCTACTTTGCAAGAACTGATACCTCGTTAAAATGTTCTAATTTTTAAAGCCTTGTTTCTGAAGTGAATCGTTACCTGCTAAGTAAGAATTTATTACTCTACAAAAGATCTCTTCAAAAGTTTAAAATTTCGTAATATCCTTTTTTGTTCTTAACATCCGATTTTACTGGAATTCCAAATCTCTATTGTCTATCTATTTGGAACTATATTACTTATTGAGATGTCTGTTGTTTCAAGCTCCTATTCCGTGTAGTCATGTTCTAGAATATCACCGACATTAACAACTTCGGAAATGATTAAATAGTGAAGGCACCAAATACTACTTTAACATCACAATGAAGCTCACATAATTCATCATTCATCATAGGTTATACGTAGAAGACAAAAAAGTATCTGAAAACCAAAAAGGTTTTCCTTCAATATAATCACTAATGAAATTATTTATATTTTTAAATAAAAAGTTATTATTTTAAACTGTTCTCTTATAATAAATATGTGTTTTTGTTGTTGTTAATATTTCAATATTATAAAATGGTAGTAATATGTCTTATCATATGTATATACTTATATGTGTCATACCTATGTGTATGCTATTTATACAATATATCAAAAATTTGATAAAAGTTTAAAGCACTTTTATCTTATATTTTTATGATATAATGAAAAAACAACATATTTATAAGCTATTACTTTTCTCAAAATATTTAAAGAAATCTGGACCCATCATAAAAAATCAATAAATCGTAGTTTATGATATAAGGTCTAAATAAAGGTCATATATACTTGATATAGTACTTTGAATACTCACTATACCATAGTTTCACTGTACTATGGTGAGACTAATACATAGTGCTGTACTATGTACATAACTATACAGTATATACCTAGACAAATGGATGTATGTAAATATAAAAAAATATTTGAAATATTGGTTCTTGACTATATTATACTACACACTTTGAAACCTAACTATTTAGTATATGTTTAATATTTGGTCATTGTTTACTTTTTACTATTATTTCAAGAATTGGTCATTTTATGATAGTTTTTTGATAAACAAAAATTGTTTAAATTTTTTATGCGCATACCAGTTTATTTTACATATCCTCCATTTTTGAGAACAATATCGTACAGTTCGTTATATCAAATTTTAGTTCAATAAAGATTGTCTGGGCGGCAAAATGAAAATCCCATTTGATATCGAATAATAAAGTTTCGATACTGGTGAAATATTTTAACATAAAGTCCATTTATTATGTATAATATAATTAATTATAAAACGATAAAAGCACCAACCAGTAAAAAGTATGGGATTATATGAAATTCGCTAGAGTCAGGTACATAGTAGTTAATTGGGGCAATAAGCACTTTATATAAAAAGCATCGGAAAATGACCATTTACCCACATTACCGCTTGTAAATTTATTGTGTTTATAGCAAAATCTACACAAAAATTAAACGATAAATTAAAAATAAACAAAAGTAAATAAACAAAAAATGTTAAACAATGATCGGAAGAAATTTTACCTAAAACTGCTGACGGCATTGCTATGTCTCACCACCTCCAGCGCCAAACGCATACATGCCTCATACACTGGTACACATAAGCCTACAATGGACGGTCGCATAGTTGGCGGCGTTGTGGCGGCAGAAGCTTCAGCACCGTATCAGGTCTCGATACAATCTATTTTTGGTTCTCATTTGTGTGGCGGCGTTATAATTGACAATCAACACATATTAACTGCAGCACATTGTGTGGAAGACTATCCACTTACAATGTTGCGTATTATTGTTGGCACTAATAATTGGCAAGAACCAGGGGCAGTATTTCGTCCTGAAATGGCTACACCACATTGTCGACAAGACGATCCATTCTATCATAATGATATTGCTACGGTGAGATTGGATGCACCGATTGAATTTAATAATTATACACAAAAAATTGAAATCGCCGAGACATTACCTCAGCCAGGCGATGTTTTAACCCTAACTGGTTGGGGTAGTTTGAATCTTAATGAATATCCTCCCGAGAAACTAATGACATTAAATGTTACACTTATATCACGTCAGCAGTGTTTAACGGCCTGGGATAATGATGAAGGAGTTGGTATTGGACATATTTGTACTTATACACGTGCTGGAGAAGGAGCTTGTAATGGAGACTCTGGTGGTCCATTAGTTTATAATGGTAAATTGGTGGCTTTAGTTAATTGGGGTGCACCGTGTGCTATGGGTAAACCTGATATGCACGCAAATGTAGTTTACTATAGAGACTTCATAAGATTAGCTCTAACTCAATGCACAAGACTGAGAGGATAGTTGATTTTAGTTTAAGAAAAAAACAATTTTACTAGATTTCAATACCATATATGAGAAAAAACACAGTTCATATTTGTAAAATATTATTTCTAAATGAAAAGTTATGTGCAAATATTAAACAAAATTTTAGTTTAATTTAATCATTTTTTTTAAAAAGAATTATTAAAGACTGTTAAATAAAATATTAAAAATAAAATAAAATTATTAATTTAAATATTATCGATTAGCCTTTCATACAGTAGTGAATTGCAACAACAAAATTTTTAATTTATTTTTAATTAATTTAATTTCTAGCTGTTTCTTGTAGTGCCAAATACCCAACAGTAGTAATATTGGAATTATTTCTTATATTCAATTATTCGTAAATAATTTTTTTGAGATTACAAGAATTTAATTTTTGTTGTTGAAATTCACTACTGTTGAAAAACCTTTCTAATAAATAGAATAGTTTTTATTAAGAAAATAGAAAAAACAGAAATAATTGTTACAGTAATGATTCTGTTAAACAAATAGTCTTATAAATGTATATATCTCTCAACCATACAGTGTAGCTAGTTCTAGTTTTTATATTTCTTGCTTAGTATTATCTATTAGTTTTCTTAACCGGACAGAATGACTGGTCGCGACTGTGTTCGCATAATGGAACTTTAACTTTATTATATTTTCATTTGATATGAAAACCTTTGACTTATCTAAAAGGTTAACTATTTTGATCACGAATATTATAACAGATAATTTACCAAATTACAATAAGTACGTTTACTTAAGATATGTATTGTTATTATCTTCAGATAATAGCTTAAGACAATAATATGTTATGATAAGATATTATCGTTCTTACATATATTATATATTTTATTTATTAATGTAAAATAATGAATATAATTTTTAAAACTAAGTTGCCGCCAACGAAGATATTAAACATAAGCATACAGTATTTAAATGTCCTTTACGAATACTCCATAGAGTTGCTGAATGACACCAACTTATTTCATAAATATAATCAAAATATATATATAACACATATATCTATATTTATAGCATATATATCAACGTCTATGACACAAATCATATATCTACACCCCTTCTTACTAC